CGCGGGCGCGCGTGTGCGCGCGCAAAGCCAGTGGGGTATCTTCATTAGCAACTGGGTGAGGGGGGAGACCTTCATTAGCAGCCGATTGTCGGTGCCTACGAGGGGGCCAGACCTTAAAAGCCCTCTGCTCCCGCCCCCTGACCAAGAGGACCGCCAGCTGTCTGTCCGCAGCCTGGCGGTGAACTCCCGGGGAGGGCGAGCAGGCACGTGGGACTTCAAGTCGGGCAAAGGGTGCCCAAGAAACATCCTAAAAGAGCACTTCGCACGCAACCTGAACTCTCTGGCTGGCCCTCCCCGCTCTCCTGCTTCCCTCAGACCCGGGCGCACGCGGGGGACTTTCCCCGGCACGCGCACCGAGGGCAGACCCAGTCGAGTCGGAGATGGGCCTGTGGCGTGCGGTCCGGGTCCAGCCGGGGCGCGTGGAGGGCGCCGGGAGCTCGGCTCTCGGGGCTGGGTTAGGCTCCGCTGGGAGAGCTAGCAGGGCCAGTGGCGGGCAGGGCGGCGGCGGCGCCCAATCCGGGCGTCCGAACAGGCGCCATTCCAGGGCAAGCCGGAGGTCCCAGGCCAGCTCTCCCGGAGCGATGCCACTGCGGCAGGGTGGCCGGAGCATCCCCAGAGCCTCTTCCTGGTCGAGGAATCAGCACCCCCACCTCTCCGTAGCCGCAGCCTTCTCGGCCACAACTTCGGCACACCCGCGGCCCGAGGCTCCCCAACCGCCGCGGCAGGCGCAGCGCGGCACTCACCCTGGAAGCGGTGGCCGAAGAAACGGTTCCGTAGGACCCAGGGGTAGAAGTGGAGCGGGTCCCGGTGCTGGGCGCCGAAGAAGGAGTGCGGGGACTGCAGCGGGGAAGCGCCCAGCTGGTGCGCCGGGTGCACGGTCAGCGCGGGGTGGTTCATGGCCTCGGGGAACACGAGCTCCGGCCCACCGTAGAGAGATCGGCCGGCGCCCGCGGCGGCGGCGGCGGCGGCGGCAGCAGCGGGGAAGCCGCTTACGAAGGCGGCCTCGGCCGCGCCGGGGTGAGGGTAGTTGAGTGCCGTGGGCCGGAGCGGCTCCTCCGCGGCGGGCGCCGCTAGGGGATGGGAGCCCCCGCCGCCGTCCTTGGCCACCAGGGACTCGATGGTAAAGCCCCGCTTGGTTGCAGGCTGGAACATGGTCGCGGCCGCCGGAGCCGAGCGAGGCAGCACGGCTCCGGGGAGAGCTCCGCGTCCTGGCGCCGCCGCCGTGTGGGGTGTGCGCCCAGCCAGGCAC